GATAATAGCACGAAGTTAGACTGAATGAGACAATGATTTGACTCTTATAAAAGACATCACCTCATTAACAAATGTGTATATGGAAGCTTAAAATCAAGTTATAATGTGGTGGCATACTGGCATATATAGGAGTAGTCTAAACCTTGGTTTCCTTTTAACTAGGTATGTTTTCATATAGTACTTATCTTTTTATATACTCGTGTCTCGTCTTTACTTTCAACTTATATCTTTGTTTTATGTTTTGCATTGCTAGTATTTAATTTCTACTTTATATTACTAGTATTTATCAACTCTACATCAATGATCATGGTCGCTAAACTTGTCGACAAAGATACCTATAACGACAACAAATTGATTATGGATGTGGCTATCATTGTAGTAACATATATCAATGAATTTTCATCAAAGTAGATTTTTAACCTATTAAAAAATATAATTGCGTTTAAAGGATACAATCTCTGTGTTGAAAGTAATTAATATTCATCGGTTGTATAGTATTTTGCAGTCTTTTTATTGAAAAAGAAAAGTAATGATGGGATATATTACATATAATTTTGTCGGGAGCATACCTATTAACAAGAGATAAGAGAGTGTAGGGAGATGTCATCGGCAAACATAGTTGGTTAGATATCCGTCATTGTGTTTTTCTTTTTTGCTATAACAGAGATTGAGCACAACATGATAGATCTAAGTCAAAACGCAACTCTTCAGCAAAGACCTCAATATAGAATTTGAAGCATAAGAACTTATTTACATTATTATTACAAAAAAATATCTTTTTGCGACCATGTGTCTGTTTTTTATTATTAGAAATTAACTGGAACCAAAATAACTTCCATGGCAAATCTTTCCATCCACCCTACAACAATAACATGGTGTCACTCATGTCAAGATATTTAAAATCTTCAATAAATAAAGCATGTGGTAACATTTGTCGCCGAAAAGTAACTTAAAACCATGATTTGGACCTCGCTAGCCCTAGTTGATAAAAATACAAAATTTACCTTGTATTGCTTTTTTTTTTTAACGGCAAGCTGGTATTGAAAAGAAAAATAAAAAACTAGCCAGAGGCTAGTAGGTACAAAGTTTAGCAAGGAAAAAAGAAAAAAATACAAGAAAAGGAAACATAAAACGAAACTAAACATCAGGAGCTAACTACATTTTTGCATAACATTCCCGAATAGGGTCGCAACACCAATCGAGCCACCTAAGGGATACACCCTTTCTATTCCTCGCATTAATCCAGAACGCGGACATAGATTGTACCTCATAAGCCAGCACCGAGAGAGATTTAGCACCTGAGGCGTGAGCCTTCAGGTTCCGGAAGTTCCAAATTACCCATAGGAATACTAACATGATACCTTCATGAATGTTTCCCAGCCTCTTGTGTCCATTCAGCACGTTCTTGCAGTTAAGAAGATCGTTAATCGCTTGAACATTTGGATCCATCAATCGCCACCATCCAGCTATTTTTTGCCATAATTCTTTTGCAGTCCCACATTCTATAAACAAATGGTGTTCAGTCTCTGGAGCCTCACCACAGATTTTACATAGGTTGGATTGTGTGATGCCAATTTTTGATAAATTGACCATTGTTGGGAGTCTCCTATGGCTGATTCTCCATGCTAGGATATTCAATTTCCCGGGGATTAGTGGGTTCCACTGCCACTTCTCATCAGAGCAAGGTAGGGTGGTTGAGTCAATATAGTTCCTCAAGGATGATACCGAATATGCCCCGGATGGTTCCAAATCCCAGGTCCATTTCATTGATCCTGGCACGACATCATTGTGAACCAGATGGAAATGGCTTACAAATGAGATATTATCCTTTTCGAGTATTTTAGGGAGGCTAGCAATTACCCCCCAACACCCACTTTTCCTTCGAGCTACCGAGGGCCTATTGAAGCCTCCTTCAGCTCCAAAGATTGACTTTATTACTACAGCCCATATGTCATTCGGATTTGCTTTGAACCGCCACCACCACTTTCCCAGTAATGCATTGTTTTGAGCTTTCAGGCTGCCAATACCTAGTTCGCCCCTTTCTATAGAAGCACAAGTTTTGTCCCATGCGACCCACATAATCTTTCTTTTGTCCAAATCACCACCCCAAAAGAACCTCATTCTGATCTTCTCAAGTGTTTTAATCACTTTAATAGGGGCTTTAAACATAAAGAAGTAGAAAGATCCTAGGCTGCCCAGGACCGCCTTACACAGAGTTAAGCGACCCCCAAATGACAAAGTTGAAGCCTTCCATTTTAATAGCTTCGTTTGGAATTTCGCTATCAGTGGATTCCAGTGTACAACTCTAGCCATGGATGCACCAATTGGGAGGCCAAGGTAGATAAACGGTATGGATCCAATGGAGCAGTTTAGGCACCGGGCCACCAACTCCAGCTCACATCCTTGAACGCCAAAGCCATATATTTTACTTTTGGACATATTGATTTTGAGGCCGGATGCCAATTCAAAGCAACGAAGGATACGGATCAGGTTTTTTGCATTTTCAATCGACCAAGAACCTAGGAAGATAACATCGTCTGCATACTGGAGGTGAGAGAGGCTTGGGCCCTGGTTTGGCAGTTTTATTCCTTCAAAGATTCCAATTTCTTTACCCTCTTCCAAGGCAATATGCAGTCCCTCCGCTGCAATGAGAAACAAGAAAGGCGACAGCGGATCACCTTGCCTGATTCCACGTTCCATAGTAAACTCTGAGGTAGCGGCTCCGTTTATTAGAACTGAAATCCTAGCTGAGGAGAGGCACCCGTGTATCCATGACCGCCATTTGGCACCAAAATTCATCTGTTCAAGGATCAAATCAAGGTATCCCCAGCTAAGGCTGTCGAAAGCCTTTTCAAAGTCAACCTTGAAGGCAAACGGCTTCTTTTTACACTTCTTTAGCCAAGAAATCGTTTCGTTTAGAATGAGGGGACCGTCAAGGATAAATCGATCTTTGATGAAAGCCGTCTGGTTTGGGCTCACAACCAGGTGAACGACCTTTTTTAACCTTTCTGCTAGAACCTTTGCTATGGTTTTATACAAACAGCCGATTAAACTGATGGGACGGAAATCGCCAATGGTATTAGGATCCTGAATTTTGGGAACCAGGGTAATAAAGGAGGAGTTGCATCCCTTATCAATGATGCCCGACGCTACGAAATATTTTACAGCAAAATAGAAATCGCTGCCTATAGTATCCCAATGATTCTTAAGGAATGCAAAGGAGAAACCGTTTGGTCCAGGGGCCTTATCTGATCCACATGCCTATATAGCCGATTTTATTTCGTCCAAAGAGAAAGGTTGTTCAAGGAAAGAAGCCATCTGTGGAGTTAGTTTTTTGAACTTAGCACTGATAAACTTTGGTCTCGACCTTATAGGCTCCAAGTACCTCTCCCGGAAATGATTGACTACTTCTTGTTTTATCGTTGAAGGGTCGTTGACCCAAAATCCGTTTACTTTGAGGCCATTTATTCTTTTAACCCTGTGATGTTTGTTTATAATTCCATGGAAGAACCCACTGTTTTCATCCCCTTCCAACGCCCATTTTACTCTAGATTTTTGATTTAGGTCCACCACTCTAGAGGATTCAAACGCCAGGATTTTTTGGTGGGCATTCTGTATTTGGAGCAGCAACTCATTATCAATTGGATACTTCTCTGCATGGAGATCAATGAGATTGATAAGATTAGACAGATCAGAAACCTCCTTTCTTCGCATCTCCAGTAATTCCATTCTCCACCTCTTAACATGCTCCTTCAGGTTTTTAAGCTTTCCTGCAGTGATGGATAAGGGGGAAATAAGAAGCCGACTTCCAGGATCAGAGCAGGTTACCCAGCCTTGTTTCACTATATTTTCAAACCTAGCATCAGCCATCCAAGAATTGAAGAAGCGAAAAGGATAGGGGCCAAAATCTAAGGAACCGGAAGATAGGATAATCACACAGTGATCCGAGTGAATCCTGGGCAGAGCTGTGACATTTAGGAATGGCCACGTGTCAAGGACATTTGCAGATACAAGGTATCTATCCAGCTTGCTGTGTTTGTTACCAGCTCGATTCGCATATGTAAAACGACGCCCACCCATTTTGATTTCAGTTAACCCTGCCAAATGGATGAATTTATTAAAATGATATGTACTGTTGGGGCAAAAGATTGAGCCAAGCCTTTCTTCTGGGAATCTCACAACGTTAAAATCTCCAAAAACAAACCAATACAATCTGAATCAGAGCTCACAAGACTTTGGAGCTTGTTCCATAGTGTCTTCTTCCTCCCCGGTTCTTAGGGAGCATATACATTTACGAAGCAACATCTCTTTCTTAGACAACCAAACACCTTTTATAGCTAAGAAACCATCACCCTTAATTGATTCAGATATATCGAAACTCATAGGGTCCCATAAGGACACAATACCACCTGAGGCCCCAACAGGATCGACCACATCACACTGAAAATTTGGAGATCCCCATAATTGTCTATCTAGGTTACCTTTGACTTCAAGGGATTTTGTTTCTTGAAGCCCAACCAAAAAGGAACGATTTTGGATTCTAAACTCCTTGACCCAATTTCTTTTGACTTCACACCCAATTCCACATATATTGTTAGAGAAGATATTCATTGATCCAAAATCATCACTCCACGTTTTTTGATCAAGGGTTTGAGTTGATCTGCACAATCTTTAACCTTGAAACCCACTCTCTCCCCCACTTCAATCGTCTTGAGTACTTCCATAGATGTAGAGTCAGATTTCTCTTGGTTCGGCTGGGAGGGGGCACCTGTATTATCATGCGGCATAAGAGGTTCTTGGAGATTATCCTGGGGATGGTTTCCTGCCGGGTTGATTGGCATTGACGAGGAGGTTGTAGAGGATAATTCTATAGGAGAGGGTGTCAGATTTTGGGCCAAGATAGAGTTAGAATTAGAATGGAAAAGGCTCATTATTAAGGTCCAGTAGCTTGGTGGGCCTGCGATGCCCACTGGCGGAGATGACCCAATCCGAGTCCAATCTCATGCTGGAGCGGGGGGCGGACTTTCACTTTGACTTACACGCGACGATTCGACTCCCTTCTGCCGTCCGTTGGTGTTCTCATTCTTGTAATGCTCCTCGGGAACTGGGATCGTCTCGCATGATCGCAACTTTTCATATTCCCAGTCCTGACTCCGGCGAGAATACGCCGGGGACAAGATCGGCGAAATCGGGTCCTCCTCCGATTGTGCTGCATAATCATCCTCACGACCTCCCCCATACCACCAATTCCCATTAGGGTACTGGAAATCGTTTGATTCCAGAACAAGACTGAGCTTTAAAGACTCAAACACATCTTCCATAACATTGATCTCTAACCGGATTCCATCAACATAGACAGGAATAGAGAGGCTAATTAATCCAGGATGAGATGTAAGAATACCAACTCGCCCAAAGGCTAGGTTTGGAGAGTCTGTTGAACATTCTTCCGGAATAACCACTGATCCCCACAGCTTGGCTATAGAATTGAAGGCTTCCTCACACCATACATGTTGTGGCACCCCTTGAATAATTATGGAGGCTATTCTCTCATTATAATTGCACTCCATAGACCAGTTTGTGAGAGATTTGAACCATGGCCTCCAAATGGCTTCCCCATTAGATAGAAAGTCATTTTTCTCTTGAACACTTTTGAAATCCAATAGCATCTTCATGCCCCCTAGACACCTCAGCTGAATGTTAGGGCAACCTTCAACTTCCGGCAGTGCCTTGACGTTCATAAGGGTCTGAAAGCTTTCAGTTTCTCCAACCAGAGTGCTATTTATGCACTCCTTCGACCCTTCTGTAGAGATCATTCTGATACTTTTCTCATCAGTCCTGGCATTATTCAAGTTTCTAATATCAGCCATTGGGTCCTCAGTCACCCCCATACATTGACTAGGAGGAGGTCCTTTCACAGCATCAGCATAAGACCTACCTTTTTCATGTTCAACTCTCGTATGGAGAGATGCATGGTTGTATGAGGCCCTTGGTTTACCTTTTAGGTGGGGGGTAATATTCCTGGACTCTTGACCTTTTCTATCAAACTTGGCTACGTTAACTCTAATCTTTTTAGCACCGATGAGGATCTCATTCAGACGCGATTCGAAAGCTCTTAAGTCTCGGACCCTGATGAATCGAACGAAACCAAATCTTCTATTTAGTCGGTTCAACTTTCTGGCAACATACACATCCACCACGGCCCCATACATGCTGAAAGTTTTCCACAACGCCGATTCGTTCCAGTCCGGAGGGAAGTCTTGAATGTAGTAACTGCTCTCTCGTTGACGTCGTAGTCCTCGCTGTAGTTTTCCTCAAGTTTCTTCTTCCGGCGAACTTGCTGCCAACCGTCGAGACTCTCCATCTCCCCTCGTTCTAGTTTTTTAGATCTACAAAAAACTATTATTATGGCATTTGGTTGTTATTTACCTTGTATATGTTTTACGATATGCTATATGTTTTGTCTTCATTGTCCCTGTCGTTTTTAATCACCATTGTGAGAGCATAATTTATATGTCAGATGTCATCTACAAACTATAAAGAATCTCTCTACCTAGAGTTGTCAAAAGAATTTGAAACTACAATGATGTTTGGCAGTGTGGGTTTTATTATTTTGGTAATTCAGATTTATTAACCGAATAAACGATTAGATTATTATTTATACATTTTATTTTTCTAAGTTAATTATGTTCGTTTCACTTTTTTAAATTTATAACTTGGTGGTGTTTCTTTCCTTGAAAAAAAAAAACCACCACTTAGGTCTGGAACCGACAGGTATATTTGAAAAAATATTACTTAGTTTTTTAGTAGACAAGATATAAAAAAAAAATGTGATTGTACACTTTTTTTTTGAGAAGATGTAAAAAATAGCTTTGAAAGTTGGAAGACATTTCTAACGTTTAGTTTTTAAAGATTAATATATTTTTCTGTTATTTCTTTTCGATTTCTTTTTCTTTTCTTTTTTGCATTTTTCTGTCCTTTTTTCTCTTTGGGTTTTGTCTGTTTTATTTGTTTGTTCTCGATGTGCCACTTCAAAAAAAATATTTTTTTAGTAAGTTCGATTTCAACACACTTATTAGACAAGTTTGACCCTTGAACTCTTGTAATATTATTTTAAAAAAAAAGTACTTTTATAAAGATTATAATTATAATCTCACATAATATTATAGATTAACTAAATAACAAAAATATTGAATCTATGTTAGTTAAAAAAAAAAAAAAAAAGGGTATACATCCAAAAAAAAAATCCAAACAAAATAATCCTTTGCGGTTAATATCTCTTTTAGCAACAAGAGATATATCATTAGAAACACTAGGGGAAGGTTATAAGACAATCAACATTGGATCTTTAACCCACTCTTCCCCTTTCATGTGATTCCGAAGAGACCACAAATACACCTTCGTTAATTAATGACTGTTATCAACACTTTTTCCTTCTTCTTCCACCTGCCATTAATCCTTGTTCTAAATTATTAACAGAATAATTTACATATTTGTAGAATGATGACTTGCTATCTTTCACCATAAATTATTAACACAAAAGGTGGAACAATATAATGAAAAATCATAGAAGATGTACTTAATATAATCACAAAAATTTGACCATGATGAACATCATAAACCTACTCCCAATATTAAATTAAACTTATTGAATTCTGATTCTACACTCGATGTCTTAATCCCCATAAAGCATCTTCATCGATTTGCACTTATCCATTAGTTATTCATACTTCCAATTTTTTAATTTTGCATAATAGGCCATGTGTAAGCTACTGATTACCCCTTAGTTTCTCTTTAATATTAGGGCAAATTCATATATATCCTTTGAAATAGCATTGAGAATGACAAAAAAGTAGAGGAAGAGTTCAGTGGCATTCGTTTGATGATCAGAGCTACAACAGAACTCCATCAATGGGATGAGATGGATCCAATCCGAAATCAATAAATAAGATTCAAAAATTATAGCGAAATCATAATAAATCGAACAACGCTGTAGTTGTCCTTATATATAAGACTTGATGTAATTATACATTCCATATATAATATTCACTAAAGTTTATATAAAACCAAATGATTGAAAATGTATAGATAAGAGGAACTTACTCCCAAATTTCTTGGTTTTATTTTATTTTATTTTATTTTTTTGAACGGCAAATCTATTCTATTCTAATCCTTTGAAATAGCATTGAGAATGACAAAAAAGTAGAGGAAGAGTTCAGTGGCATTCGTTTGATGATCAGAGCTACTACAGAACTCCATCAATGGGATGAGATGGATCCAATCCGAAATCAATAAATAAGATTCAAAAATTATAGCGAAATCATAATAAATCGAACAACACTGTTGTTGTCCTTATATATAAGACTTGATGTAATTATACATTCCATATATAATATTCACTGAAGTTTATATAAAACCAGATGATTGAAAATGTATAGATAAGAGGAACTTACTCTCAAATTTCTTGTTTTTTTTTTTTTTTTTTTTTTTTTGAACGGCAAATCTACTCTATTCTAATCCTACAATTCTCCTACATCCCCACCTATGTCTCTCACAGAACTTGAACCCTCGACCATAAAAAAGGAGAGGAAGACCGGATACCAATACCCTTGAAAAAAGTCAAGACCTAATCAAATTGGGGAAGAAGTTAAAAAACTTTGAAATTTACATTAACTTTTTTATATTGTGCTTGAGGCCCAATGCCCATCTGCCCATCTAGAATCTGGGCTCATATTAATATTTAAAACCTAATTAGGCTCCAAATATCTATATTTAAAACTAGACATGAGCAAAATATCGATCAAAAGGCCAAGACTAAAAACGGTCTAAAATGAGACCGGATCAGGAAAGAAAAAAAAAAATTAATGTTGGCTTGAAACTGTCCAGAAACGGTCAAAAAAACAAATGAACCATTCGAGATCAATCTTAAAATAGACAAAAAACTACTTTTATATACATATCATTCTTTTTGTTAATTATACATTTTTAATTACACATTACTCAATTTTCACCCTATTTTCTTTTAGTGAAGTCTAGTCTATCAGTTTCAGTAAATCTAATATATAATTTTGGTGTTAATCATATATGTGTTAAATGTGGACTCAGGTATTTGAGGGTCTAGGGTCGGCATCCCTTGCGGTGGTTCTTATAACCACCATTCTAAACTTAAATGAATTTATATAACAGGAAAAAGTCAAAACATATATTTCCCGATAAAATATCGGTTATGACATCGTGATGATGTAAGGGTCGATTTTGTATAACCACCATTTTGGCGCCAAGATGGAAGGCAACTACCTTCTAACCATCATTTTCCTTATATAAAAGGACATTTTCCTTGTATAAAAAGAAGATGAACATTCCATGAAAATGTTACAACTTTCATACTTGAAAATTGATTACTTTACATTTCTTATCTTTTTGAAAACACATCAAAACAAAAGGTACCCTATGTTTCTTGATTCGAATTAGGCCTATAATTCGAATTAGCTTTTCTTGAATTATCTCACTTTTGAATTTGTCCCTCGGACAGTAGAAATGAATTACAAGTTTCGAAAAGTATTGAAAACACGATCCTAGAAATTATCCAAGTGTTAATTTGTAACATTCCGACTCCCAGGTATAATATTTAATAATTTATATTCATGTTGTGAGAGCAACTCGACAAGCTAGAGGCCCCAACTCACCGAGTAAGCGTTAAAATGGTCGCGTGATTTTTAGAGTCTACTCGATGAGTTGGAGGACCCAACTCAACGAGTAGGAGCTGAGTGTGAAAACCCTAATTTTTTCGGTTTGTGTCCTATTTAAAGGACTTTAAGCCTTCATTTCCACCTCCCTTATCACCTTGACACCTTGAGAGAAAACCTAATCGAGCTATATTCATTTGTGAGAAAGAGAGAAAGAGAGAAAGAGAGAGAGAGAGAGAGAGAGAGATAGATAGATAGATAGATAGAGAGAGAGAGAGAGACTAAGATTGTGTGTTCTAGTGTATTTTTGGATGGAAAATTGAGGAGCAAAGGGTTTGGAACGAGAAGAAGGCCTTGGATCCAGTGTTCTTTCAGTGCTAGCTGCAATTTGGAGGTAAAAAGCTATCATATTGATCATTGTTTGGTTAGACCTCGTCAATAGGAGTTAATCTCCACTTCCATCTTTTCTTTCGGTCCTTAAGTTGTTTGAGCTTGCCATGAAGTTAAGACTTCAGATATGGACAGTATGAGGTCCCTTGGGCCTAAAGATTCAAGCTTTATCAAGCTATTGGCCAGCTTTCATGCATTAAACCCTCTATAGAGCTTGATTTGGCATTTTGAGTCCTAGATGCCATGCATGGACATAAAACTTGCAGCTTTACGTGATACTTCAGCCTTAAAAGGCTAGATCTAGAGTATGAGGCCTTAGTTGTGCTTCAAAACGTCTGAATGATAGAATGGACTGAAGGGACTCGCCGAGTTGATGAGCCAACTCGACGAGTTAGCTAGGGTTTTCCCCGATAGTCTGGATGTGTTACAACTTGGCGAGTTGGTGAGATAACTCGACAAGTTGAGTTGGATTTTCCCAATACTTCGGAAAAAATGAAGAAGCTCTAACTCGACGAGTTGGGTCAGCATGGACTGTTGACTCAAGTGTTGACTTCCATTGACTTTTAAGGTTTGGTCAAGACATGAATTATGGAGACCATTGAGGGGTAAAATGGTCTTTCACCCTTTCCGAGAGTTAGAGAAGGAGTTAGCCTAACTTTTTAGGGTTGTGGTTATAAAGTGTTAATTAGAGATGATTATGATATGTAGGCGGAGTCTAGACCGTTCGTCGAGTACAAGACCTATTTGCTTACTTACAAGGTGAGTGTTGTCACTATACTTACTTGAGTGTTAATATTGTGTGACCATAGGGTCTTATTTGAGTTATTGACTAGAAGATCTTATGTGCTTATACTAATTTATGTGATATTATGCATTTTGCCTTTGTGATTTATGTTATATTATTTTGTACCTTACTGAGTTAGGATCGGAGGGTCTAACTCGAGTTGTGAGACCGGAGGATGTTCACTGGGATACAAGTTCAGAGCGTCCAACCCGAGCTATGAGATCGAAGGGACTTCACTGAGACACATGACCAGAGTGTCCATACCGATCCGCGAGATCGGAGGGTCCTCACCTTGACGCATGACCGGAAGTTCCATGTCGAGCTATAGCTATGAAAGGCTTATTATTTGTGTATGTGGTATTTTGGGGAACTTACTAAGCTTCGTGCTTACAATGTTGTGTGATATGTGTTTCAGGAACCTCTCAGGATCGCAAGAAGGCGCCAGCTTGATTGTACACACCAGTTAGAGATTATGTTTTTGAGGATTCTAGGATATTATCAAAC